AGAAATCAAGAGCAGGAGGAGAAGGAGAAGGAGGACGACGACAAGCGCTCTTGGCAGGGTGGGGTTCGATATCTCGATTTGTAATTCGACTGCAACTCTGTGGATGCCAACAGGCTTCGATATGGAAATGTCCAGAGCCCACCTCCGATATCGAGATATCGAGATATCGCGTCTGACCCCGCCGCCGCCCCCCAGTGCGCATCCATAACCATCACGACCATCACCATCATCATTAACATCATCATCGTCAACGTCGTCATCGTCATCCTCATAATCTGAACTTCACGTACCCCTCCGACCCCGCTGGACCCCTCTGGCCCACACTCAGAAAATGAGAACTTTCCTCATGCACGCCCTGCGCTGCAGACGGGCCCCGCTCGAGCGGGCCCGTGCGGGCCCGCAAGCCGTGCAGAAGGAAATTCGGGTCTTGGGATGGGGGGAGGCGAGGCGCTGCACATCGAGCCCCGCCCCGAACGCCCACTCCCCCCCCGATTTCGAGATATCTAGATATCGAGTCCCCGCCCCTGAGATCGAGATGTCGAGATATCGAGATATCGAGTCCCCGCCTGGCCCCGCCCCCGATATCGAGGCATCGAAATATCGAGATGTCGAGTTCCCGCCCCCGATATCGAGATACCGAGATATCGAGGTATCTAGTGTCCACCCCCCGATATCGCGGTATCGAGATAACTCGAGACAGCGAGTCCACGCCCAGCCGCGCCCCCGGAGATCGAGATATCGAGATACCGGGCGAAAACAGCACCCCGGTTTGACGGGGCGCCTCGTCCCCACGCTGAGGCTAAACAAGCACGCATTGGAAAGAACACTGAAAACACGTGGCGTCATTCTAGCTTGTTTAGCTCCTCCTCCTCCTCCTCCTCCTCCTCCTCCTCCTCCTCCCTCCTCTCCTCCATTGTCAACAGCCGAAAGTGAAAAACGGTAGAGAAAAAATGAAAACCCAAAAAACGCCCAGGGCTTTTTCACGAAGAGCCAAGATGGAGAGGGATGGGAAGGGAGGGAAGAGGGGGAACCGGATGTGCAGATGTGCAAGGGAGGGCGGATGGATGGAGAGGGAGCGGGAGGAAGAGAATGGTGGCCAAGCAGAGGGGCGGGAAGGCAGTTTCCAACACCTTCTGGCTCGGCTTATCCTTCCCAGCTCCCCCCCCATTGTCCATCCACCCTCCACCTCCTCCCCCTCCCCGTGTCCTTCCCTCTCCCGCTGCCCTCGCCCTGTCCCCGCCCGAACCCCCCCTACCCTCACCGTCACCCTCACGGCACTCAGACCCGGCGGGGTTGGGGCAAGGACAAATCCATTACACAGCGTGCCGGAACGCTCTCAGAGTGTGCTTCAAACGCGCGGACAGATATCGGGAGTTCGTGAAAGCGGGGTCTCACCCAAGGGCAGGTAGGGGCGCAAATCCTAAGAAACGACATTTGAATTTCGATTTGGTATGTGATGTGTTGTAGTCTGGCACGGGCCAAGTCAATCGCTCCCCCACTAGTAGCGGTCATACGGCAGCGGTGCAGCACGCATCACAGGAAGTAGTGGTGTGAGGTGGACACTACTTGTAGGGGTGGATGCGTAACCTCCCAGGACCCTGAGGGGGGCGCGTGGAT